CAACACCAAAAGCACAAGCAATAATGATAATAATAAATAAATAAATTGACCTTTGTCAAAATTAAAGTACTTCTGTTCTTCAAAGGATATCATCAAGGAAGTGTAACAACAACACATAGGAGAAAATGTTTACAAATCACAAATCTGATAAGGGACTTACATCTAGAATATATCAAAAAAATGGTTATACCTCAATAATTAAAAGATAAATAATCCAATCAAAATGTAGATTAAAAAATTTGAAAATATTTCTCTAAGGAAGCAGGGAAATGGCCAACACACACAAAAAAAGATGTTCACCATCAAGATCCATCAGGAAAATATAAATCAAAACTGCAACTGCACTAAGGCAGCAGTTTACACTGACTGGTATGGCCATAAGAAAAATAGAAAGACTGTCAAAAAGACAAGTGTTGGCAAGAATGTAGAAGCCTCCTGTGCTGCTGCTACAGCTGCCTTGGCAAACATTCTGGCAGTTCCTCAGTTAAATATGAGTTCACATCTTCGATCTGGCAGTCCCACTCCTAATACAGACTAACAAGAAAGCATGTACCCCAAAACCTTGAATACAGAAGTTCACAGAAGCAGAATTTAAGATAGCCCAAAGGGGAAACAAACCTAAAATGTCCATTTTTGTGGAAAAATAAATTGTATTATGATATATCCACACAATGGAATACAACCAGGAAGTAAAAGGAATAAAATATTGATACTTGCTGCAATACAGATGAAGTTGAAAACATGGAGCTAATCACAAAGGATGACATATTATGTGATTCTACTTAGATGACATACACAGAATCAGTAAATCTAGAAAGGCAGAAATTAGAGCCGAGGCTGCCTAGGGCTGGGAAACTAGGGTAAAATACAGAGTGCCTGCTAGTGAGTTTTATTTGGGGGAAATTAAAAAGTTTTAAATAGATAATGGTGATGTTGCACAGCTCTTTAATTCTACTAAAAATCACTATTGCATCGTGGTCCTGGTTAATAATGTATGGTATGCAATTTATATATCAGTAAATCTGTTACTTAAAAATTAAATTAATATGTATAAAAATAAACATATATATGTATATATGAATTGAAATTTTAAAATTAATTTTCATAGTGAAAAAATGAAAAGCAGTAAGATTAGCAAACCAAATACACATGCAGTCAATATCTTGTAAGGTAATAAAACTGTAACATTTGAAGTTTTATTTTTCTTTCTTTTTTTCTCCCTGGAGTCACATTTTACTATCAAGAAAGTAATTTTCAAAGTTTTGAAGGATTATTAATTCTCCATAATTAATCCGTTATTTTAAGTTTTATTTTTCCTACTAGAGAAAAATCATCACAACTATCAGGTTTCCATCTGTTAAATTCTAAGATGATAGAATTGTATAATATAGAAAATAGTAATGATAAGGTCATAACAAGCCAATGCTCACATTACAGTGAAGGTCACATAGGCTTCTTTTGTCTTATTCCCATGGCTTAATTTTTCTTAAAAACTTTTCCCACAAGGATACCACAGTAATTTTTCATCTCAGTTTAGTTAAGCAGAAAATGACAAGGGCAATATTTCCTATGAGCCAAACACCTGGAAATAGGATAATCTAAAAGCAAGGGCATTTTGGAATTAAAGCTACAAGAAATCATGAAACAAAGTAAAACCTGATCAAGCTACTCTTAAAAGATACTAGGAGGGGCTGGGGTGGTGGCTCAGTGGTAGTGCGCTGGCCTAGCATGCATGGGGCACTGGGTTCAATCCTCAGCACCACATAAAAGCAAACTAATGTATCCACCTTAAACTAAAGATACATAGTAAATAAATATTAAAAAAAAAGATACTAGGATTTTAAGTACATGCAACTAGTAACCATAGCAATTAATAAATGGTGAGACAGTAATTTACTATATTTGCCATTAAAAGAAGAAATAATACTTGCAAGAAGGAAGCAAAGATGCTATTGAAAGTTGCACAAACTTTGTAATTCCAGTAAAGGAAGTAGTTATGGACTGAATTCTGCCTATCAAAAATCCCTGCTCTATACTGTGACTATTTGAAGATGTGCCTGTAGGGAGGTAATACAGGTTAAGGGAAGTCTTAAGGGTGGGGCCCTAGTGCATGTAAATCTTCTTGGTGTCCTTAGAAGAAAAGAGACATCAGAAATCTCTCTTCAAGAACACAGGATAATCTAAAAAGAACAAATTTTTAAAAATTAAAAATATAAAAATGATTTTCTAAAAAAAGGACACGGGAAGAAGGCCAGGTGAGGACACAGTGAGAAAGGGGTCATCTACTGGTTGCCACATGCCAACATTGACAGCACCTTTATCTTGGTCTTCCAGCCTCGGGAACTGGGAGGGAATCAATTTCTGTTGTTTAAGCCACACAATCTGTGGTATTTTGTTGTAGCAGCCCTAGCAGATGAATGCAGAAGAAAATGTTCAATGAAGCAGACCAACACAGCCAAATGACAAACTTTGAATCAGTCAGCCTCATCATAGCTAAGTTGCACAGATCAGGAGAGAAAACTCAGCAGAACAATGAAAACAGACCAAGATAACCCAATGTGAGAATCATCAGCCTGCCAGAGGCAAAGTCTGCAGAAAGAGAAGAGACCCTTCTCAGGAAAGGGATTAAGACCCCCCCTCCCTCCCTGAATAGAAGTCTATTCTAATGCAGCCATCCAACAGGAATGTGAAAATCCCACTCACAACAACTATCACTGAAATGTCCCCAAGTAGCTACAAGAACAGAAAGACACATCTCTTAAAGGAAAGGAGGTTATAAAGGTTATAGTGACTATAATATTTAATCACTTTCTATTGACTGAATTTCCTGCACATCATCACAAGGACGGATGGATTCATAGATAGTTCTGGCTGAAATGTGAGTCGGGCAACTCTGAAAATGAACACATGCCTTGGAAGTGAAAAAAAATCCTAATTTGTCCTTCCTTCCTTCCTTTTCTTTTCGGTCATCAACCAAAAGAAAAATATAACTTAACTCTCTGGGTGGTTGAGAAGGTACAGTAGGAGGGCAGTGAGTCTGAGATCAAGTCAACATGCACTGATACCAAGAACTTGGGACTACTTTACTGATGGTGCAAGATATGAAAGAAATAATTGGTTGGTGAGTTGATAGCAGCATGTTCTTGCCCCTCTCCTTCTGCTTCTTTTGGTTTTTAGATACTGGGATCATCTAACCAAAAAGAACAAATGCTCAAGTTCAGGAGACAGGAATGTTTGGAGGGAAACCATTCCGAAGCTAAAGGAAATGGGACCACTGTGGGAGAACAGGATCTGGCAACATTCATTTTTATCTTAAAGGCAGAAAGTAACTATTTAAGGAGCTATAGAACTGAAGTGATTTATCAATGAATTGCCTCCGTGAAAAATATAGGGACAAGGGGTCCTAGAGATTCTGAAAGCCAGTAAAGAAATCTTAAAAAAAAAAAAAAAAAAAAAGTAGATTGCAACATTAACAAAAAGCTGAACTGGAGATGTCAAATGTAGAGAAGATTTCAACATTTTGAAAAACCTAAGACACTAACAAAAATTTATAAATTTTTTAGACTGCCTAAGAGGCAAGCCAATACTAGAGTATATTAAATGATTTCTGGATGCCTACTCAAGATTTAATTAATACAAATATATGCTGAAATAATGAGAACAATTATGATATAATATTTATTAAAAATATGTTAATAAAATCAGCAGATTTCCTTTTTGAATGGAAAACAGAGTCTAAATGAAGGGAAGAGAAGCTGGGGGTGTAGCTACCCTGGAGTGCTGTCTAGCATGCATGAAGCCTTAAGTAACATCCTTAGCACAAAAAGTGAAAATTAAACTAAAATATAAATAAATAATTTAGGTACGGTGGTGCACACCTATAATCCCAGCTACTCAGAAGGCTGGGGAACCTCAAGTTCAAGGCCAGCCTGGACAATGTAGTGAGTCCCTGTCTCAAAAGAAAAAATAAAAAAGGGCTGGGATTGTAGCTCAGTGGTAAATGCTCCCGAGTTCAATCCCTAGGAACACAAAACAAACAAACAAACAAACAAACATAGAAATAAATATAAAAAGAAAAAAATATTAAAAACCATAAAGAAAACATGCAGGGCATACAAAGTCATAGAAATTTTCAATTAAAATATATAAGGTAAATAAATAATATAAAGGAGAGATTGCTAACTGGCATGAAAAGAAAAGACAAAAATCTATTGTCTCTGAAGGATACAAATAAGCCAAAATATAAATGGATTTTAGATCAAGGCTTAATTTGAGATTTTTCACATCTTGGAAACATAAGAAATGAGGGCTACTAGCATAAAATAGTATTAGATAATAAAGGCATATACAGAGATGAACATTTAAGAACAGTGCATCTTAATGTTTAAAACATTATGGCAACAATATATTCTGAAGAAGAGTAATTAAAATAGTTAAATTATATCCAAAAGCCTCAGTAGTTTATCAAAGCAGATGAATAGATGAGGAATTAAAATACCTTCTCAATGAAGCGGAAACACTGACCACTTCTTGACTATCTCTAGAACTTTTAAGGACAAATGATAAAATATAACTAAATCTATATCTTAGCAAAAACTGGGGTTCATTTCTGTTTGTCACTTAAGACCTCCAGTCCAATTTTAGTCTTACCAAAGGTTATAGTGTCCAAAAACCTCTGTGCACCTCTCTGTGGTTTGTTCTGTAACATTTGTCAAATGAGCCACTTGATAGATATGTATTATCGATAATATTGTCCAGGAAAATATTTGTTGAATAAACAAATATATACCAAAGTGAACAACATCTATAACAAAATAATAAACCAAAACAGCCACATTTATTGAAAAGAATTCCAAATGTATGAATAGTAATTTCCTTTCTATCCACATGCTGGATAGAAAATCTTTTCTTTCATTACATGCAAAGCCCAACTATAATTTAAAACTATTTAAAGCTACCTAATACACACCAAATAAAGTTAAAAAATTATTTTTACTAACCTTGTAAGAAAATAAGGCGAAAATGAAGCTGGATTATCCTGCTCTGAAAAGAGGGGCATGGATCCTCCCATTATCCACAGACGGAAGTACAAAATGACAATCACCTTAAGAGAACAAGAAGATTTGGTAAGAGAGCCACCAATAATCTCCCTCTTTGTATGTGTGTTCTGTCCTTCCTGTCAAGATATGAAGTCAGCCACCCCTTTCCTTAAATCTGGCTTGGTTTCATGACTTGTACTTATCAACAAAATGCGGTAGAAAACACACTGTGTCCTTTCTAGGTCTAACCTTCCCTGGAGAGGTCTTGCAACTTTGGGTTGGATCTTTCAGAACCCAGCTGCCAAGTTGTGATGAAATTCTAACTATCTTTCTAGGCAAGGCTTCAGAAGATGAGATACTATGGAGAGAAGCGATTTGGAAGAGGATGGAGATGACCTAGCCTTTATGATAGCTGAATCAACTTGCCTTAAAACCCAACCAAAAATTATGATGATCAGAAGAATCATCCACCTAAATGCTGCCCAAACTAAAGAATTTCAGGCAGATAATTATGGTTGTGGTATTTAGGCCACTCAATTTTTTAAAAAATATATTTTTAGTTGTTGGTGGACCTTTATTTTTTATTTATATGTGGTGCTGAGAATGGAACCCAGTGTCTCACATATGCCAGGCAGCACTCTATCACTGAGCCATAACCCCAGCCACTCAATTTTTAGGCCATTTGTTATGCAACAATAGATAACTGATAGAGCCAGGTTTCTGACACCATCTCTAGAGACCAATCAACATTAGCACCTTGAAAGGGACTTGTAAAACACTGTGTGTTTCACATATACCTAAAATAGAACATACACCTTCCAATGCTCTGCAATGTTTAAGGCATGTAAACTGATACCAAGATGGCATGGCTGGGATCTACTACTGATTCTATTAAATAATCTGGATTGTTTCTCTGGCCTGAATTAAAATGAAAACATTCTTGATTACATATATACTTACATAACTGATGACCAAAACAGCCCTTTTTAAAAATGGTCTCATGGTAAGCAGGAAATTTCTATTGCTGCTTGTTGTCAGATACCTGAAACAGGAAAGAAAATAAATCTTAAGTAAGTGTAAGAGTCTCCTGCACCATATTCCCTTTTCAATGAATATGCTGTAGCTCTGAGAAAGGCTGTGAAGGCCCCAAGCTGAGAGTGGCCTGTGAGCCAGCACACTTGGGTTCCAATTGCACACCTTTGCTGCTTTCAACCCAGGAGACTGGGAAAGTTTCTTCCTTTTCCTGCACTGTGCTTCTTCTCACTTAGGAGGGTGATAACACCTGCCTCACAGGAAAGTCGTCAAAGAGACAATATGGAAGGGAACAGAGCACTGTAATTACTAATACTACTATCCCATGTAACCTCAAAGAATCCAGTCATTCTGACAACTATGTGCTTACACAGTCAAGGGATGATTTTAAACAAGAGTTCATTTACTTACTTAGTGCAATATCTTTAGCCCACAAAATACCTCACCAATGTCTTACCCCTAAAGATAGTGCTAAGGTTACATGAAGTCAAGAAGTTTTTGTAAGGTTTCAAAGTTAGTGAGCACCAGTGGTGGGATCAGAGTCACCCATATATGAAGAACAATTTTCTCACCATCTTATGGTCCTTGGAATTAAACAAGTTTACAAGCATGTCAACTTCTGAAGGGGCAGGAACTTGTGTAGACCCTGCATCTGCCACAGCCCATTGAATCTTACAAAGTGGGAACTGTGGGCATGTACGTGCAAGATATGTGATCAGACAGCTTTAATAAAAACAATGAAAGGGAAGCAAGAAGAGCTATCAAAAGCCCCAGATGAAAACACACAGCAAGTCTTGTCCACCCACAAGCAAATTTCTACTTATTAAAGCACAGAGTGGAAAAAAGAAGTTGAGTCAAATCACATAATCCACACACATTTCTCATTTCATCCTTATTCCCCCTACTTATTTTCATTTTTTTCTTCTACTTCTTTTAGTTTGATTTTTCCTCAAAGGATTTCTCTCCAGCATAGCTTAAAATTTGCATTTGAATGAGTTCTCTTCATATAAGGAGAATATTCTTTAAGGAGGGAAATCATTTTGTAAGACCCAAGTGGGTTAGTATCTCACAAAGAAACGTCCACCTTGAGGATTGCTTACAAAATATATGTGCATCCTTAGCTGTGTAATAAACGTTTTGAAACTGTGGGACATGACAGCCTTACTTAAAGGCAAGTCTCTTCCTTTGCATTTCCTTTTCCTCTTCATGGTTCCTAAAGAATTTTGGAAGTAATATATGCTTGGATCTGACTTATCAAGTACTTAATGAATGCAGAAAGTGAAGTGCCCAAAACACAGAACAGTGTCAGCTACTAACAAACTTTGCACTGGATCCATCCTCAAGTACTGTATTTAAATCCTTTTCTCCTTCCTGAGATACCAACACAGTGCTCTGCAAGGAGGAAGGCCAGGTACCATCAGCAGCTACCTCAAATGTGCCAAAGGGTGTCCTCACATTGTGCATGAGGTTTTGCATATGTTTGCATCTGTGCGTTTTTCTAAGCAATGTCCTTGACTTGGATACTCAATATCTCCAGAGTCTCCAATCCTAAAATGAGAAAGTACTGCTAAGCATCCTTCCCTCAGCTTTGCCACTACTGTGATTATCATTTCCAGTCCAAGTCAACCAACGCTGAATTTTTTTGCTAATGCTTTACAGGGGGTAAGATAAATGGCAGCAGGAAGGCAAAGGGAATGAATGACTGATGGCTGAAGAAGTGCTGGGGAGGTCAGGAGTCACAATATTTGGGAATGAAAAAAGAAGTACTTCCTGCGGTGGTCTGCTTTTGGAAGTGTTATTTCTCAAGTTCCTTTTGTTGCTTATTGATTTTTAACATAGTGGAAAAATGAGAAGTGATTTTCCTTTCTATAGAACAACAAACCACAGAGTTTAGGATTTTTTCAATGTTAAATTTAGATGAATTCCCCATATATTATTTCACTGAAAGCTTGCTATGATGGTTACTTCAGTGTGTTATTCTTATCTGAGTCCTCTCGTTTAGAAATTCTTGGAGAAATCCCACTTCCTTAAGAAGTCAAGCTGAAGTCACCAAATGATTTATTCTTAAAATGTAACATCCCAAAGCAATCAATGAAAGTCCATAGTGCTACAGAGATCAGTGATCAAAAAATAAGACTTCGTTTCAAGATTTCTATTTCTAGCTGTTCAATCAATAGTAAATGTGAAAATGATATGGCATCCTCTTTTGATAAATACTAGGTCAGGGGATAAGATTCCTAATCTCAACAGGGTGCACGCCATGGGCTCAATTCTCTGTATTCTTTACTCCTTTCTACTTCCACAACAAAATTGAACAGAGGAATTGTCCCTCACATGCCCAATAATATGGCCTGTGAGGTAGAAATGAATAATAATGAATAGTAACAATATTATTATTAGCAATAATAAAATAGCTAACAATTAATATGTGCCAGACACTAAGTGGTTCAAATGTAATAACATGGGCTGGGGATGTAGCTCAGTGATAGAGCACTTGCCTAGCAAGAAGTGATAATTAAATATTATATCTAATTTTCTCACCTACATATTTCAATTGTAAGATACAAAATGTTATCGTTAATGCTTTCTTATTTCATTCAAATTCTCCACAGTTTTCGTTAAGAAGCCAGAGAGCATGTCAATCCAAACACCGAACCACTGGGGAAACCACGAGAAAGAGAACCGAGGTCCAGGGTTCTATTCCTTTTTTTTCCATCCAATTTGATGCATGATTTGGAATAAATCTACAGAAGTTTTATTTTCTTCCTTTATCAATGAAAATGGGGGCAAATGGTTTCAGGGTCCGTTTCAGGTCAAAAAGATTGTGATCATTGCATGTTCTCACCAAATGACAATATTATAAATGAATGGAGACAAACAGACACCTGCCAAATTTCAAGAAAAGGCAATGTCAAAGGATCAGAAGGAAATCAAGAATTAGTTGATCTCCACTTTCAGTACATGCAGTTGCATATAAAAATAGTTTAGTATGGATTATTGGTATCATCAAATTATGCATTTTAAACTGATTTTTTTCAAATAAAAACAAAGACCAAGATTACTCAAAGTAATTCTCTAATATGCTTCTACACATGCCACATTTTCTGATTACTAACAACCACTTCCCCAATTGATTATGTGCAAATATTCAGATCCAAAATGTGACTGCTTCCTAAGTTCATTCTCCATAGTCACTCAGTCCTCAATGCCTACTGAAGATCTTAGCAGATATCAGAGCAACGGCCACCCTAAATCATCCACCCATAATCCTGTCAGCTCAATCAATGAATGCTTGGGGAAAATTATTTTTTTCTTTTGTGGTATTGAGGACTGCATCCAGAGGCACCCTACCACTGAGCTACCCTTCTAGCTCTTTTTTATTTTCTGTAGTGAGACAGGGTCTCACTAAATTGCCCAGGATAGCCTTGAACTTGGGATCCTCTGTCTCCACAGTAGCTGGGATTACAGGTGTGTGCCACTGTGTCTGCCTAGATAAATTAATATATATTATTATAAGTTGCTCTTCTTTATTAACAATAATTATCATGCCAATCAATATTCTATACGTGGGACAAAAAATTCTTTGTTTGATCACACTTTATTCAGGCTCCTGAACCTTCTTCTAAGACCATCTGTATATTGTCTTATAAAATCTCATTTCAACAAGAACCCTGCTAAATCACTTTAGCAAACCAAACGAAATCAAATAAACTAAAAATAATCATCCACCCTTGGTATCTGACTACTCTAGATGTCTGATCATATCTTTCACTCTCCACCATCCCCAGGGGTGATGTCTGATCACCCTTGTCTTTACAAGAATCCTATTAGGTCAGATTGGCCAGAATTCCTCCTTACACATGATAAGGGAATTTCTTTTAGTAATCTGTCATCCACTGACCTCTCCATCCTGCTCCTTGGCTATAAATTTCCACTTGTCCATGCTATATATCAGGGTTCAGCCCCAACTCTCTCTTTGTAGCAAAATTCTACAACAGTGACTCCTGTATCTATTGCTACAGGCAATTAAGTCTTTATAAACATGTTTTAACAAGTGTGGTTTAAATGTGTTTTTCACACCACAGCAAGATGATCAAAGATCAATAAATGCTTAGTGACTTGAACAGTTTAAAAATCTTTATCTTGCCTCCTCTCAAACTCTTTTCCTGTTCCGTGTTATCCCTACCCTTCAGTACTAGACTGGGGTACAAAATTATACCAATAAATAATAAATAGAGGAAAAGAATAAATGGAATTCTTTCTAGAACATGAATCATAACTAATTAATTTCCCTTTGCTCTTTTAAGATAATGAAGGATATTGATAAAGACTCACATACTCTGAAAAGAATTTGAACTCGGGCTTTTAGAACAGAAATTTTTAAATATTGCTTTCCTTTGAAACACAAAAGATTTCTCAATGGAACAAAATATAAAAGAGACACAGCTAACATTAGAAAAGACTAAAAGTTTAGCAAAAACAACAGAAGAAAGTTAAGTGTCTCTGGATTCCCTCTTTAACACACTCTCTTGAACCCAGAAAGGCCTTCTCTAAATCTTAATAAGCAAAGACATTCTACAGAGGAGCCACCAACCTTTGATGTCCCCTTTGATATGCAAATGAAGATTCTGAAGGAAAAGGAGCTACTATCCTAAGAAAAATGCATTTCTTAGTTCTGTCTACTCAGAAGACCAAATTGACCTTCCATACCCCACTCTATAGTTCTGGTAAACTGTTCTTACAGAAATTTTAAACACTTAACAAATCATGGTATTTACAAAGAAACACATACTTAGATGATCATACATAAAATATGGAAATCAAGCCTGGGAAGGCACAGGAAATGTGTTTTCAGTTCTCTTAACCATTCTAAAAACTGAAGCTACTATTGGAAGGGAACAGAACAGTGTGGGAGTGCTATAGGAGAGGGAAAAAGATGGAGCTGAGAAAATGTTAACTGAATTGGAAAAGGTCATGGCCCTTCACTGTCAAACAAGCCTCATTAGCTGA